AAAAAAAAAAAAAAAAAAAAAAAATCACGAGGGGTCTCATTTACAGAACAAACATTATTTGAGAGACCATCTCATGGGTCCTCATCACATCCGACCAAATCACACAGTATGACAAGTATTCGAGCCTCAAAGGCTCATAAATCATCTCAAAACCATCACAAATCTTCACAAGACAAACTGCTCTCCCTTCCCTTATACCCTGCCTCATCGTCTGTCCTTTAGACAGACCGCATGAGTATACCGAGGAGTAGGCAGTTTACATATCACATATGCATAAACATGAGATACGTCCATTGCATCTTCAATACAAAAACCATCATACATAAGGTAAAGCCACACAAAGTGAGAGTGATAGTGATCGACACAAACACAGCCTCATAATGTCCCAACTCAAAATATATATACAAAAGTTCTCCCTCTGAACATAGGCACTGAGTCCTCATACCTCGTCCTACTGAGTAACTTGTGTCGTAGTATACAAGAGAAGTAAAAAATGTATCCAACACACACAAGATACCTCATACAACCTACACYATAATCGTACAARCTGGTATATCATACAACTAAGCACTGTCAAGAATCTATCCCAGAATTCAGTAATCTAACYAGGGTCACACTYTACATATATGTACAAAAATGACAAGACTACTCACAATCAAAACTGAATATGTACATGACTGAAGTCAAATCCAACAAGCTACACTCTATTTAATGTATATGCAGACCAGACTCTACTCACTCATCTCCTCCTGATTCTGCCTATACAACTGAGCTCTACCCCCATCTGCAGATCTCTCCACCAGTCGGCCCTGCCTATCATAGAACCGTCCATCCCTCTCTGTAACTTTCCCTTGAGCCTTGTCCTTTAGGAACTTAGGACACTGCAAGGCTCTATGTCCCTCCTTTTGGCAGAAGAAACAGGAGGTATCACGTCTCTTCTTGGATCTCTTCTTTCCTCTCTGCGACCCTGGCGACGAAGGTGCCTCACTGGCCTCCCTGCTCAACTCATGGCTCTGCAGCCTCCCCAATGATCCCTCTGGCTCTGCCTCCAACTCCTGAGTACTAGGTTCTGACTGAACCTCAATCCTGTCTCGCCTATATTCAGGCGTATCCAATCTCTGAGGCCTGCTCTCAAAGTCGCCCCCCATCATGACATCCAAGCCATCCTCTCGAGGCTCCTCCACTCCCGGTTCTGGTGAGAATAAGCCTCCCACACTCTCCATAGTGTCGACTGCCTCAAGGAGCAAGCTCATCGATCCATCATTTGACCCCAAGGTCTGTGTGCTAATGGCAGCCCGTGGCCTGTCCCCTACATGAGGTACTGAGGATCTCAACACTGGATCAGAAGAGATCTCAGGCTGAGTGGCAAGTTCAGTAGGAGTCCTAAACTTGAAGGCCTCTCTCTCTGCCTCCCTCCTTGCTCTTGCTTCCTCTGGCTCTAACATAACTCTCCCCATGGCTGACTCTTGGGAAGGCTCATCCACTGTCAGCCTCTCAAGTGGACCCTGTGCTGGCTCATCCTGGACATCATGATGACTGCACCCTGCCTGATCCCTGGTAATGGCAGGTGCCTCTCGCCCCTCACATCGCTGCCTCAGGTCCTCGATAATGACGGCCTGCTTGGCTACCAATGCCTTGAGCTCCCGGATCTCCTCCTCAGCTGTCTCCAATCGTACCCCCTGGCTTGACTCCTTTAACTTCTTGCCAGCCAGATCTRCCTCCATCAACAAGTAACGAYCAAAGGAGGTCTTGGCTAGAAAGCGGACCTTGCGATCCAGATACTCGYTGACTGCCCTGGCCGTYTGAAAMCCCGCTCTCTYTGGGGATGCCACCTTCTCATTGTATTGGCTTAAGAACTCCTCCCACATCYCTCTCAYTCCYGAGGGTCTGGGTGGTGACGCGGGTGGCGGGGCTGGGAGCTTTCCTGCAGCCTCCAATCTCTGCCTCTCCTCATAAATCTCTGGCAGTCGTCTCCTAACCCTGGCCCGCTTCTCCTCGGCAGTCTCTCGTGCTGKAACCCTCTCTCTCGTACGKCCATCTGCTCTCGCTGGAATCTCAGCCTCCATCTCTCTCTSTGGCTGATGTGGCTCTCGAGGTGGCTCTATAAGTGYTGGCTCTCMRRGCGACTCTGTAGATGCTGGCCCCCCTAAGTCAGGATRCTCCKGGACGTCAGCAGTCAAATGTCTATCAATCAAGGCAATYGCCTCTCTCCTCCGATCTACCCTCTCGCCCTCTGTGTCCGTCCTCCCTTCTTGTGGAGACGTCATATCTGGAGGTAATGGCGACGACTGTCCTTGCTGTGGAGCCTCCGCTGTCTCGCTCCCCAATCTCAATCCAACGGCTGGCGTCTGAGGTGGAGTGTCCTCCTCAACCTCTATCACTTCCCCCTCAGTGCGCATGCCCTCCATGCTCGGCCCTTCCCCTGKCTCATGCYCTTGGGCCTCRTCATGCCCACCTCTCATCTGTGGCGCTCTCCATTGTGAGACATCCAGGCGTGCCTCTAACTCTCGTAGCGGCTCTCCAGATGGTGGTGCCTCCTCCTGATCGTGCTGTGGTGATGCTCCCTGTTCCCCTGAAGTTCCTTGAGGGAACACCACTGGCCCTATCCCACACTCTGGGTAGGCTCCCTGCTCCTCTGTCTCAATCTCCACCTCTTGTTCTCGCCCAGCGAGTGCMTTCYGTCCTCCGCGAGATGTCACAGGCCTTTYAGGCTCAGGATCTMTCGSCCTCTCACCCTGCGGYTCCCTCTCGACTCCAGGCTGGGGTGGCTCTGGTCTCCGAAATGYTGCCAACACRTGAGCCCTGCAGCTCTCCCAGTTCTGAGCCATGCCTCTGATCTGCCTTGCCAGAGGTCTGTCTGCCCGCCTGGTCCATAGTGGYAGCCTACTGGCCCACTCGTCTCTCACGACCTGCTGGGYATGCATGAACTGCTCAAAGGYMGGGATKAACTCCTCCTRGTTCCCAATTGCCAGACGAATCGGCCTGCCATCCACTCCCATAGGTGAGGGCCACGRCCCCTGTCTCCCSTCCCGCTCGGGCCCTCGCCYTTCTGGCTCTGGTCGCTGAAAYTCTCRTCTTAAACGGGCTTGGCAGCCTTCCCAGTCAGCAGCTCTGTCCYGGATCTGCCTAACCATCGCTCTCTCCGCCGGCCTGGTCCATAAGAGCAACGCCTGCATCCACTCCTCTCGTGGGTACTCCAAATCTCGCATACATCRCTCATAAGCTGGTAGAAACTCATCCACGTTACCGTACTRWAGGCGGATAGGTGCCCCATCCTGGTCCACTGGCGTCACCCTCAAMCCGTGCATCCTCCTTTCCACCTCTGCCCAGGTCACCGCCCCCTCTCGAATGCGCGCCACGGGCTCCTMAAAAAGCCCTACCCCTCGTAGGTGTYGAATCCTCTCACGCACACCCCATCTCCTCCRTGCYGCGTGCTCCTGGAAGGAATCCAAAAAGAGCTCAAYGTTATCATCATCGAAAACCGGCGTGTGCTCTCGTCKAGGTCGCTCAACCCCTYCAGGCGCCCCCAAAGGTCTCTGTCGTAAGCGGGCATCTCTYTGGTATGGCCGGTGCTGCTCAAAATCCCTGGGAACTCTCATACGCCGCTGAGGTGGTCGTCGCCCCTCCCCTTCCCTCGGCATGACTGTCTTCGAAAAGTCAGAYYTGCGCATCAGGAAAAGGGACRACAGGCGCACCRCGGGATAAATAAGCAGGCAAACCARACCACACGCAGAGCAGAYCAACCCCCACCTCTATCYATGCATTCTACCCGCCAATCAATCTAACCTCTAAAYATCATCCATCACATTAATCTATGACTCACTACTCTACGACTTATCACCATCTATAGTGGGCAGGGTCCACTATCTCACCTCTTCCCTGGCAACGAACTTCTTCAGTCTTGATCCTGAGACCCAATCCTTTCATCCTGTCCCATCCAATTCCTCAATCTGATAGGCCCCAAAATCCCCGCAGCGTGCGATCCGATACGGCCCTAGCCACCTCTTATCCAACTTTCTGGACCACTGCTTCTCCAAGGATGAGTCATACAGCAGCACCACGTCCCCTACTTGCAGCGGCACCTTCCTTACACGCGCCATCTGATCCCATCGAGCTTTATCCTCCATGCAGCTTTGTTCCATCTGATTAGATGCTTCCTGAATCCTCTCCTCAATGGCTCCAATCTGCCGCGCCCGAATGTCAAGCAACTCCTCAAATGACAGATTGGTTTCCAGATCCTTATGCCTCCAGGTTTTCAGAAAGCTCTCAATGGGAAAGGTTGCGTGTCTCCCATACCACAATGTAGCTGGCGCATACTTCGTGGTCCTTTTTACTGTAATGTTCTCGACAAAGAACGCCGCTCTCAAGTACTTTGGCCATTGATTGGGCCTGCCCTCTGTCCACTTAGCCAAAAGGTTCGTGATGGTGCTATGGCCTCTTTCAACTGGCGCATTAGCCTGGGGGTGTGCGGCCGTAGTGTAGTTGGCCACAACCCCATACCTTGCCAGCAAATCCTGCACCTCTTGGCAGGTAAATTCCGACCCTCTATCCATCACAAACTCTTTGACAAAAGGGTAGCGTAGGTAGTATTCCTCGATGCAACTTACCAAGACTGGTCCAGTCTTGTTGCGAATAGCCCATCCATCAACAAACCCGGACAGGTTATCTCGCGCATCGAAAATATAGTTATGGTCTTGCTCCCCAGTTGGCATAAACAATAAGTCGAGGTGGACCACTGCACCTACTTCCCTCTCCAGCCTAGGGTGTAGAGGCTCTCCCGGTCGTTGAGATGACCTTTCCTGGCAGGGTACGCATGAGCGGCAGAACTGGCTAATCAWCTCCATCATCCCATCCCAGTAGTATAGCTCGCTTATCTTTGCATAGGTGGCCCTAACCCCTCGATGCCCACCTGCTATGCCATCATGAAGCGCAGCTATAATATCTATCTGCCGATTCCTGCCGCACACGACCCTCCTAGGATTCCCCACTTGTCTTTTCGCAAAAAGATGGCTGTCTCTCACCAAGTAGAGATATCTCATCCTTTGCGCACATTCGCTGGCGTCTCTGTTTCTCACCTCACAAGATAGAAGGAGCCCTAGCTCTAGGTAGATCCCATCATACTCCTCTGCACGGAAAGCCTCCTTTATCTCCCCTTCCTCAAACTCATCGTCGTAGCTTTCTGGCAGCTCCCCTTGGTCGACCGGGTTCACCTGATCCCAGTTCCCTTGTAGCAGASTRTTAACAAGGAGGTACATTCCTCCCATCAACTCCTCGTGTCGTTCTACCTKGTCTGGTCCCTCCTYTATTGTATGAAGATCGTCCACCATGCTSTGAGTTCYGGCCAGCGCCAACTTCATCATCCACCCAACATCTTTACCACCCCACGGATCTTCTTCCTCAAAGGGCTTGAGTACCAACTCCGCCTTCCGCTCATACCCCTTTGGCGTCATCCAAATGGGATAGCAGATGCAACTAGGCAGGCGCAAAGACCACTCATTGATTTGGAGTCTTACATCTTCCTCTTCCTCCAAAAACCATCGACTGGGGGCGTCGTCTCCTCTGCCTCACCCTGCTTCTGATCCCAGTCGATTCGACTTAGCCCATCCGCCCTATTCTTATCCCAAGGAATCCTTTCTAACTTGAAATCGAACATCCAGATGTATGTCAGTCATCTGGCAACTGTAGGATCCGATGGGATATAGTTCCTCAAAGAGTAGGCTAGCGCAGTAGGATCAACCCTTAGTACGAACCTTCTACCGAAAATATAATTTCGAAAGATCCTCAGACAATGGAGCACTGCGAGGGTCTCCTTCTTAAACTGCGAGTCATTCCTCTCAGCAAAATTAAGAGTCCGACTTTCAAATCTTAAAGGTCGCTCCTTGTTTTCTGCATCCGCCTGGATAAGAACTCCACCTAGAGCAGTTGGCCCTGCATCTGTCTCCACTATGAACGGCCTTCCTTCCACTGCATCGTAGTCGGGTGCTCCCAAGCCCAATCCTCCTTCCCGAAACTCCTCCTTCATTCTGACCACTGCTTCCTCTTGCTCCCTACCCCAGATCCATTCCTGATCCTGACGAACTAGCTTTCTTAAGTGCTCAGTCTTAGTGGCAAAATTCTTGACGAAAGTACGCAAAAACCCGCATGTGTCGAGGAAACTTCTTACGTCCGTAACAGACTGAAAGGGTACCGGCCATTCTATGATCTTATCTGTCTTCTTTATGTCAGGCCGACGCCCTTCTTCATTACAGACAAAGCCCAAAATGGTCGCTTCCTTCATGCAATGCTTAGATTTAGGTCCACTTGCCGTAAGGTTGTATTCCTCTAGCAAACTCAGGACTTTGTCAAGATCCTGAATATGCTGCCACACAAAACGCCTAACCCCCGGSAARACTTCGTCACACTCCTTCTCTCTAGCCCCTTTTACCGCCAAGTCGTCGATRTACGGCTGCGTAATGCTTGGGCTGACTGTCTGCATGGCCCGGATCATGTGACGTTGAACCATGGCCACTGCATTCGTCCACCCTTGCGGCGCCACATTCATGTGAATTAACCCTCTCGGCGTGTGCATGGCCGTCACTGGTCTATCTGGCGGGTAGACCGGAAATTGGTCATACCCTGAATAGAGGTCTATAATGGATATTATAGGCCTCCCAGCACACAACTCGGATAGGGCGTCCGCATTAGGTAAACCTCCCGCATCACGCACAGTTATCGCATTCAGCCGCTGCAGATCTTGGACCCAACGCAAAGTCCCATTAGGCTTGATGAAACAAAACCAAGAGCTTCCGTATGGTCCACTTGAATAATCGGCGACGTGTGTTCGTATTTTACTATCCAAATAATCCACCACCTTCCGCTCGTCGCCAGGATTCGGATACCGTGCCTCTCGCAAATTCCAAGGTTCATGCGGCACGGTGTGAATCCGGATCATGGGGATCTTATCCACGTCCAACCTCCCTCTCTCCTCATCGTTGAACGCATAAGTTCGATGCTTCTTTTTTATCAGCTCCAGCATCAACGCCTTCTCTTGTGGCCGTAGGAAGTCTGACTCCCCTATGATCAGCTTCCCTTCAGTCTCCTCGTTGATACGATACGGTCCTGATACGGCTTGTTCTTTCATTTGTCGTATCAGCTCTCGTTCCTCCTCGTAGCAAAATGCTTCATCCTTTGTAACGAGGACAGAAAATGGGCGGCACTTCTTATCTACCGTTTTGTACCGCCTTTTGGAGCCCTGTTTGAGCCTTCCCTTAAAAAAGGCTGGCTCACAGCTTGGGCCTGCATCACTGCCGGTCCTCTTCTCCCACCAGGTAGTCGATAGACTAGCTCTAGCTCGCCCACCTGGGGACATTCCAAAACTTGCTCTCTCAGAGCTTGAATGGCATCAGGATCCGCCATTTCGTGGGTTGCCACCAAATCCATCGCCTTATCCACGTCCGCCAAACTGAGAGCGAACGCCTCTCCTTTCTCTTCTGCTTCCACCTCCATGTGGATCCTTCGCCGCTCCTCTTCCATTTCCTTAACTGTGAAGGAACCGGGACTGAGTCTGTTTCTTACGTTGCGCGGCCCCGTGTTAATGCAGGTAATCGCCTCGTAATTACCACAGGCTGGATCGCACATCAGCAGGATCAGAGTACCGCCATGTTTGTTAAACATCAAGGTCTCTGTCCGGCTTAAGAAAGACCTCCCTAGGAGAAGGCCATGATCCACATCGTCCATAACGAAAAAGCACGCCCTGACCTTTACCTTCCCAATTTCTAACAGCACGTTCGAAACTGTGCCGCAAAACGTTGCCTTGCAATTGACACCATGTAAGATGCCGCAATCAGATCGGTCTATATCCAGACCAAATCTAATGGCATCTTCCTCACGAATAATGTTCATCTCCACGCCTGTATCTACCATCGCGGAGACTTGGTGCCTTTCACTACCAGTGGTATCCTTCCACAGGCTACACACTTCCAGTCCATTTTTGTGCCTGGCTCCGCCCATTCCATCTCCTTTGGCAATAKAGTACCCAGAAATACGYTGGGTATCAATCGCCTCKATAATCTCCCCTTCAGACTGTCACGGAGCCGGGGTGCAGAGGCTAAAATTTCTTTTAGGGTCAACAAATCATTGTGGCCCTCCAGCAGACGGTCGATCACACTTTCAACATCAAAACCTTCTTCCAATCGAACCGCATACTTCTTTTTCTTCCGCGCCGTATTGCGCAAGGCTGGCTCAGGGTCCTCTCTGACCCCTCTCTTCTTGGCCCGTTGCTCCGCCCTCTCATCCTCCTCACGGCGGAGCCTCTCGTCCTGCTCTTCATCCTCACTGTCATCCTCCACCTCCACAGCCTCTTTCCTCCTTTCTTGTTCTGGCTCCTTTTGTGGAGGTTCCTGACTTGGGCCAACTTTCTCTTGACTCCTCGTTCGGGCTGCGGGCACCACCCTCCTTTGTGCCATAGGAGGCCTTATCAATCCCCCTGGCCATGCGCCCGACCCCACTGAAGCTACATTGGGGTAGCTCTGGCGTTCTGGCCTTGCCTCGGGGTCAGTATCCAGCAAATAAACCTTGGGAAGGCTACCTTCCCACTCTTTCACCTCCCCACAGATATCCTGTAGCTTCTGCTGGTACCTTCCCATCTTCCCCCACAAGTCCTCCATCTTGGCGACGAGGTCCATGATCGACGAGCTGTCCTCAACTTCCTCCTCGTCTTCCACCTCCCTAACCATAGGCTCTTCCTTCACCTGTTCACTCGCCGTCTGCAGATGCCCTCCTTCATCCTCTTCAATCTCTTCCACTGTTATTGGAGGACCCTCCTTCTCTTGCCACAGCCGGAATACTGCCGGAGGTGCTGGTGGCCCTCCTGCCGCTCTTCTCCTTAGAGCCTCCGCTCTAACCCCACCTGGGATCTTACGGTCTATCTCTTCTCCGAATTGATCGAACATATGCCCATCCATACTTGAATAGACTAACCCTTCTCTCTCGTCGTCCCTTCGTTGGTTGCAAAATCGGCTGGTATGTCCTTTCTTATCACAGTGTTGACATATTGCCGTCCTCCAATCAAAATACGCTCTGCCACAACCTTGTCCACCTTGGTTCCACTGACCTTGACTCCCCTGATTCTGACTACCTTGGTTACCCCACTGTCCACCGCCTCGTCCACCACCATTCCTTCCACGTCCTCTTCCTCCACCCCTACCACCATTCCCTTGGCCCCTCTGACCCTRGCCTCCACCTCCTGCCACACTATCTTGTGATGGCGCGGGCGATGGGGGTGGTGCCATGGGTTGGGCCTGCGTGGCCGGGTAACTTGGGGACGGCGCAGTGTTCTGCAGGTTTACGTATGGCACCATTTGCCCTCCTGCGTTCTGCCCGCTCCATGAGGGCGCGGGGTTAAACACCCATTGCCCTTGTGGTGGCATCAATACCAGTGGGGCCCCGACACTGTTGGACGGGCCAGCTACATTTGATGCGGCGGCCGGTGCTACCGCCTGCTGTAGTTGACCCTTCCCAGTGCCTTGTCCTCCCGGCGCCTGGTTGCGTAGTATCCTCTGTGCTTTTGTAAGCTGCACAGGCACAGGTTCCTCCTCTTCCCAGTCCGGCTGAGCGGCTTCTTTGTTCACCACCTCTTTCCCTCTTCCTTGGACAGAAATTATCACCCTCTTCTGTATTACCTCGTCCTGACCATACCCCAGTTTTGCGAGCGTATCCTTAATAATCCTCTTTACCCCCGGGGTTCCCGAGGCCGTAGCATCCCGTTCTTTCCTCTTCCGCCTCTGGTGGCGCATTTGGTATTGTTCAACCTGGTCCAGGCTGCCATTTGCTACACCTCCGTCGATGGTGTCCCAGGTGAGTTCGGCCCTACCTGCTACCCCATGACTCGTTATTTCGGATGCCTCCGAAGCCGTAATCAACCCCAAGAAGATCGCACACAAAGCGTCTTCAGAGACCCCATGAACCTTCCTGGCTTTCTTCTTAAATGCCTGCAAGAAGGCTCCCACTGTTGTGAAGTCATCCCGATTCATGGCTTCCAGATCAGTGGTCGTCAGCATTCCATCCCCTAGCGTATACTTCCTTCGCATAGCCTCTTTATAGCGGTCCCAACTACCATTGGCCGCGTCGATAACCTTCTGTACTTCAGAGTGGTGGATATGAAGTACAAATCTTAGTACTCCCTGAAGTTTCACGTCGTCTGCCAATCCCACCACGGCCTGATCCACTTTGTCCAACCACTCGGAAACTCGCTCCCCGTCAAAGTGGAACATGTCAACCTTAGGTACATTACTGGCCATTCTCTCACGCCTGTCCAAGGCCTCGACGAGGTCATCGATCGTCATCGTCTTTTCTTCGCCTTCCGGCATTTTGACTGACGGCTCCTTTACTCAACCTTCCCTGCTATAGGATCGAGAGCACACAACAATTTCACTCAGTCATTACGTCCTACTATGTACATACGGTTTTTCCCTCCTACAACCCTACCATAATCTTAACATAGCTCTCCCCTTTCATGCTCTCTATCTTTAAGTCCCAGACTTCCTCACCTAGCCTATCACGTCTTTAGCCTCATCCCGGACAAGGTCAAAATAAAATCTTACCCGTACTACTCTTAGCTCATAAGAACATACAAGAACGAAAAACAGATGTTACCACATACAATCCCCACATGTACCTTCAAACCTCCTAATGCCTGATTTCTCTCAACCTTCCCGAGTGTCGTTCCATCAGGGACAACGGTAGGCAACCGTTATCCCCGGCAACGGCGCCACCTGTCGTGCGCATCGGTTCGGCACCGCACGAAGCAGTGCGGGACCCTCTCGGCCGTGTCACGCAGGAACTGGACCACCTAACCATGAACACAATCCAACGGAGCTTCCTATACGCCGCTCCGGACGGGTGCGCCAGCCATACCTCTCGCGAGCCCCTACGACAGGATAAGGCCTACGCGAGGCACAACTTACCTCCACCATTCGGGAGCTGTCACCTCCCTGCGATGGGCGTATCCCCGCTGAGCTACCAGTCCACAATATGAAAGCTACTCTGTTGCAATCGCAGAGGTGGACCAGCCGAGGGCGTTTCTCGTTCGCTGTAGCATAGGGGGTACGCGCAGTATTACGCCTATGTCGAACCCGCGAGTGAGTCGTCTTCTTGGGGTGGCTGAAGTCCCAAGCGCGACCCGTCGGCGGTCGACTAGGACGTACTCTACACTCGCACGTACACCACATAACAACAAAACAAAACATAACACACGCTTACAAACGTACCCACTCGAACGAAACGACACAAACGAACAAACCGCTCTATCCTAGTCCCTTGAGTAACTAACCCATAACTTTCCGACGTAAACTCGGATAAGCRTCGCGCGCGAGATTCTAATATAAAYYTGCGCGGTCGTAGGGCCTCCCCATATCGACTGGCACTATCTGAAGATGCAAACAGTCGCAGTAATATCCTCACGATATTGAATGGCTGAAGGAAAATATATCGTGGGGTCTTACCCCTCACGATATTGAACGGCTGAAGGACGCGCCGTTCGGCCTCCGCGACTTCTCTGTGCCTTTGCCAGGATGTCGTGGTAGGCGATCCATCAAGGCTCCACTTGAAAGGAAATCCCCCCATCTCGTGGAGCCGAAACCCGCCTTGTCCTGGACAAGGACCTGGAACGCGGGTTCAGGACTAACGTCCGACTAAGAACTTCAAAAAGCAAAAAAAAAGTAGTGGGGCGCTCGTCCCTTAGTTGCGTCCCCAACTACCCTCTACGTGCAGGCCCAAGCGAACATGCCTATGTTCTGTCCATACATAAGGGTATATAAGCAATACATAGACATATAAAGGCTTAAATTTGTGGGTCGATCACTTCTCACAATCACGACAAGGCTCCCTCCAATCGTATATGTGTGAAACGCAGACATCCAAAATACAAATCTAACCTAGGAAACATACCTGCATTCACATCAAAGTTCAACAGAGAGAATAGAGCCCACACACTACACGGGGTCAACTTCAATCACTTCGCTGTACTCACACCCCATGCTTTAGCCATGCAAACCCCAACCTCCGTCCAACCTCCGTAAATAAACACTCAGTGCTTCCTTTAAATGACCATTCAATAAAAGTCGGGTGAAAACCTTAATGAAACAACGAAAACCACCGGCCAAAGCTCTTTTAGGTTGAGCAAGGGAAGAGGGATGGAGTTGAGTCGTAGACCGACGAATCAGTAACGGACCTGTTATCAAGGATAACAGAAGACGATCCTTGTAGGATCGAGCTGACACAGACCCAAGTTCCGGATCAAATCGACCAAAAAGTAAACCTGTATCACAAGACAGGTCAATATTCCAGCTAATCATGTAAGCGTATGGAGGGTAACCTCCATATCTCATCTGCACCCGAATTCTACAGATGTTAGGCCTAAACTTACCCCTGTACAAGTACCCAGAGTAAAACCTCGATCTTTAGGTACACCTCTCCTATAAGTGATTGCCTAAGGGTCGCCACCTGTCGACTTATAGTCTAACTCCTCTAAAAACAAGAAAATTTCGGCAGTGCTTCCCGTAGGAAAACTGCCTTCCCAGAATTTATACGAGCTCAAATATAGACACTAAGATAAATCTCAACTTTCAAAAGTCAATGTTTGTCTAAGTCCCTGAACTAGCAAACATTTGGGCAGCACTTCCCCTAGAAAGGAAGATTTCCCAAATTCTTACTAAGTCAAAAGTACTTAAACAAAAGTTCAACCTTTGAAGAG